ATTTATATAGTTTTTATTAATAGTTTGACAGTTTTTATTTTCAGATTTTTATTTTAGTTTTCTTTCTATTTACTTTAAATTAATTCTTTATTTCAGTTTTAGTAATTTTAGTACAGTAACTTAATTTATTTTGTTTCAGCAACATTTTGAATTCTCATTTAGTTTTTTTCTCTATTATTTAATTTTAATTTCAGTTTTATTTCAATTACCAATGATGTTTTTCAATAGTTTTAGTTTTAAATAAGAATAAAAAAGAGATTATCAGATAACCTTGATTATCAGATGACAAACAAAATCAGAATGAAACACTTCATGTTACTAATAAAAACCTCTGCATTATTCATTGCCACCATTTCACTTTGTTCTTTAGCTTTAATACCCATGTCTTAATGAATAAAAGCTTTCTTTCTTCCCTTTGTCACACTTTGACAGATGGATTGGAACTTTAAATCCTTTAGGCTTTGAAAGGTATTTAATCAAATTGTTTTTTTAAGATGAAAACTTTTGATACAAAAAAACCTGCACTGAGAGATATAAGCAAAACAACAACAAATATATATAAAACACAACCAAAAACATGTACTATAATTGACAAAATACATAAAGATTGCAACAATGATAATGATATATAATTTATATGTGCTTTTCATCTTTTGAAAAGGGCCTGCTAAAGGATTTATCACATTGTCAGCCATGTTTAGTATCAAATACGTAAGACATACAGTAATCTCTGTCAACATACATATCCACCCATTCCACTGAGATGCATCTTAGTCTTCAGGCTCAGCACAAGGACTTCTGAAAGATCAATTACAGTGGGCGAGCAAAACACTACACAGGAAACTGAGGAAAGCATCATTTATTTACATGTCTGCTCTTTGATTAAAGTAGTCTAAAACAACATGCAGCAGGGAATTGATTTTTTTTTTTTAATCATCTCTGTTTTCAACCAACAGCGTAAGAAACAATCAAAGAGTTTGCTTGGCTTTGATCTAGAAAATACATATCATGTTTTCTTATCGGAGCATGGCTGTCATAGAGTGATATGTTTAATTGCCCCAAAGAAAGGAGATTATCAATTTTATGTTGGTGCCTTGTTTGTTCTTAACATCTTATAATTTAGAATCAGTTTTAATGAGATGGCAGTGCAACTGTTTAGGGCTCTATGCAAATAAACCAATTACAATGTTAATGTGAGAAACTGTAGAAGAAGGTCATTTTTCCTCATGCAATCAGTGCATTTGTCTTTAAAGAAACATCCTCTGCCAACAATAAAGGATTCTTAATGAAGCTGTTAATGTGAATTTGATAGTCCTCAGCAACGATCACGTGGGTGGATTCAAGATGGAGATGAGTTTGTTTCTGGATCGGATTGAGAGAAATTTTGCATTACATGACTTGCTCACCAATGGATCCTCTGCAGTGAATGGGTGCCGTCAGAATGAGAGGACAAACAGCTGATAAAAACATCCCAATAATCCAATAATCCACATGACTCCAGTCCATTAATTAATGTCTTGTGTAGTAAAAAAATCTGAGTTTGTAATAACGTCAATCACCATGACAACACTGTATATCAAATCACTCATCTGGGTAAATGAAACCAAAGCAACTTTTATTTCTCTCGTGTTACTCCACAGACTTGCTCTCTCTTGATTCATACAATTAACCGACTGTATATTATCACTTACATACTGAACATAGATACTGACATTAGCAGATAAAATTGATTAAAGCCTTATGATCCCTATTAGCTAAACCTTTCTTGAAACAGATGCAACATAGTTATAAAAAAAATCTGCTCTACAAAAAGCTGAGCTTTAATGCATTCTGTTTTGCTGCTTTCTGCAAATGTCCATGCGTACTGCATTCATTATCAAAGGACTTAGAGGCTAAATCGAGAAAGCATGGTAAACAATTCACTGAACAGTAATGGAGCCTATTAACATACTGCAACATGGAACAGTTAAGGAAACATTTGTAGTGATGTGATATTAAACATGCATGCATGCTGTTGTGAATGGGTTGTAAGGAGATTTGAATCATGGTAACATGACAAGGCCAGGAAAAAATAAATAAATAAATAAATAAATAAATATATATATATATATATATATATATACAGTATATCTGCAGTATTTCTCACAGCGGGTGTCATGGCAGATGCCCAAATCCACTATAATTCTATAAATAATACTGTTTTTGTGTCATGGAATGTAGTTTTGAGAGTTTTTTTTATGCAATAATGAAGCCGTTTAGACTTCAAATATGCGGTTTGTTAATAAAGGTCACATCTATTTGAAAGTTTGCCTCTATGTTTTTGGTGATGTGAGCTCTAGGGTGTCAGCAGGTGTTCATTCCAAACTCCAAACTCCAATTCCAAATCCAAGCATAGACTACTTTATACCAAAACTCCAAAGGACCTGATAATTTAGTTTGTCTGAATACATGATAAGTACCAGCTCCACAGCAATGGATTCTTATTATTGCATCCAGTGGACATTAACTTTTATCATTTCCAAGGACTGATCTGAAATAAATATAATCGGCCTCTATGAATACCCTTTAAATCTTTTCAGAGTTAGTATTCTCTCTTTTGCCACCAACAGTAATACAACAAGAAGATATAAGGATGCAAGTGAAACCCAAAGGTAAAGTAATGTACAGACTTATTTGACTAATTGTATTTATGGATATGAGATTTTTGACATCTGCATAGTAACTGAGTTATGGGGATTCAGCAGCCAATTTTCTGTATTGCAAGGTGCCTCCCCGTTATTTTCTCTTTTTGTTGTTCTTGTAATCAATTTTTAGCTAATCCAATTTGGCTGCTCTGGTTCAGTTCACATACTTTAATCTGTTTCTAAGTGTTTCTTCAATTACAGGCACTTTTATGTCCCATGGGTTGATCTATATTTAAGCTAACTTTACCTCTTCACTTTTTGTTATATGAAGGTCACATTAAAACATACTTTCAATCTTATAATATTAAAATTCATCATAAACATTTTTAAAACTATGATATTGTAAACAAAAAGAATAAAAAAGTATTTTGTGAAAATTATTTACATAATGTTTTACAGAAATTATGTCATTTCCAAATCAAAGTCCTAATAACTGGACAATAATTTTGCAAGATTTTTAATCTACAGTGTCATGGTATGGTTACCTTGTTCCCCAGGCTTCTCTTACTCAGCTTTCTCTCATTAAATACTATATGTTTTTTAGTTGAGTGGAGGCAAGGTCAGGCCAGATGTCCTGAGGTTTATACATCTGATCAGTCCCTTACATCAGCTCTGTGACTCAGAAAGCTCCTCAAAGTTCAAGCTGTACCAAAGGCTGCAGAGAGCCATGTGCTAATTATTTGAAGAACAGGATTACCCTGGTCACAAGGGTACATCACTGATGTATTTTTGGTAAATTGTGGTTTTGCTATGCTGTACATACCATACACAAGTAATTTAGCGTATGCCATTCTTTATACCTATTCCATCTAAATGCTCTTATGAGCTTCCACCAGCTCCCATGTGGCTTTTAGCAATCTTGTGATGTTTTTTTTGTTGTCATTTTACATTAACTCCTAAGAGACAATAGGTGCTTTGAAAAGCATCACATCCTTGAGAACTGCTGAGCTTTCTCATGAACCCCTATTTTGATGTGGAGCTCTGAAAAGGAAATTCTCTTAGCACTAATGGATTCACTTATGTAGCACACAAAAGTCTGGGACGTAATATGATTTTGTTGGGGTCATCACTACGAAGGAAAAGAAAAACGCTGCCAGATCTTTTCAAAAACATCTCTGCATATACTAGTAAATCCTAAAAGCTTTGAGGTCTTGAATGCAAGGAGTATATAAAAATATCCACATCGATTTCCTGCATTAATCTGATAATGAATATCTCCATCTACAGGTCTCACGTCATCTAAAGCAGCACAAACTTCAATACTACAGTCATATATATAATCTAGTATGCATGATATAATCATGTGTTATGATCAATACAATGAAAGTGAATGAAGACTGGGCCTGTTAAGCTCCAAAAAACATCCATCACAATGAATGTAAAAAATTATTTAAAAAAAATTATACAATTTCTTTTATAAAAGCACTACATTCCAGCTTTTAAGAAGCCCGATAGTTTTTGTTTTTTTTGAGAAACAAGCATTTGAGTCTATCTAGTAATCTTCCTCTCAAGCTCTGTTAAAAGAAAAGTTGTGTGTGTGTGTGTTTTTATAAATTTAGCATTACATGACTTGCTCACCAATCGATCCTCTGTACTGAATGGGTGCCGTCAAAAAGAGAGTCTAAACTGCTGATTAAAACGTCACAATAACAAGTAATCCACATGACTCCAGTCCATCAGTTAACATTTTGTGAAGTAAAAAGCTGTGTGTTTGCAATAAACAAATCCATCATTAAGGTGTTTTATCTTTAAACCATTGCTTGTGAGCAAAACAAGAGTCCATAATCCATAATGATGCTTCTTTTAGTGAAAAATCCATCCCCTGTTGTCAAACTCAAAATCCACTAGCATATTTGTTTAGGACTATTTTGGACTGTTTTCACTTGTAAATGGTGCTTGATTTGTGCATATTTCTCTCCTGATTCAGACAAAATGATTTTTTAGCATTATAATAGACAGAGTTAAAATATTGAGTGTTTGTTTATTACAAACATGCAGCTTTTCACTTCACAAGACATGAATTGATTGATTGGAGTCATGTGGATTACTTGTAGATTACTATGATGTTTTTATCAGCTGTTTGGACACTCATTCTGACGGCACCCATTCACTGCAGAGGATCCATTGGTGAACAAGTGATGTAACGCTGAATTTCTCCAAACTGCATGGATGAATCATGTTTATTCATGGACAGCATGTCAAGAAATCTTTTCAACTCTTCCGTTTGGTACTGTGGCTTTTGGTGGGGTGATTTACTTTAAATAAATGCCGATGTCAAAGCTCTTGCTATTCCACATTTCCTTCCAGGATAACAGGATAAGTCAGAAAGTGTTGTGAGCGGTGGGTGACCAGGCAGATCTACTGTCTTAATTGGGAGGTACAGCGGGGCTCTCCTAAAGCAGAGTCAGGAGAGGACAAGAGAAAGACAGTAAGAGACTGACACATGAATGACAGAATCGTGAGTGCAAAGAACCATTCATTAAGCCTACATAAGGCTTGATGAGACAGAAGTGGCTGCGCAGATGTGCCGATCTGCCAACTGTTCACTGTCTCTAGTATAATCATCAATCATTAAAAAGATAGAAACTTTCTTTGTTTTTAACCAGACAATGATAAATAAATTCTAATAATTAACAGTAGAGGGAGCAGGGGTAATTAGTCTCCTGTCGTGACTCATTTCAAGTGACCAACCACAGTTCTTTCTTTTTGGAGGTTTACAGGCAGTGTTTTTCTGAAAAAGAATTATGTACTGACCTGGCAAAAATTATTTGCATAATGGCAGTCTCCATGAACAGTTGTTCAGAAAACAGCAGGAAAATGTCAGAAAATGCATAGAGGCAATGAATTTTTCAACATAATTTTTGACAGTCCAAAAATACAGACTATTTCACATACATCTGAAAAAAGTACACCATTCAAAAAAATTTTTTTAATATTTTTGAAAGAAATCTTTTTTGCATTTATTTATTTGCATTTTTTAAATTATCTTTCTTGCATTTATGTGATCAAAAATACAGTAAAAACAGTAATATTGAGAAATAAAATTACTTTACCATATGAATATATTTTAAAATGTCATTTATTTCTGCAATGACATTACTCCAGTCTTTGGTATCACATTATTAAGTATTATCATGTTGAAAATCTTTTGAACACTGAAGTCTTTTGTAAACTTTTTACTTTACTTAACTGTGACTTTACTGTCACTTTACTTTACTATCAATAATAATTTGTGGTGGTGTACATATACATCAATTCACATAACAGAAATTTTTAATTTACGGTTACATTTATCAGATACCATCACAGAATAATACAGAAAGGGTGTAATTAATGTAACAACAAAAGATATGTATAGTTGCCAACAATCGACTGGTCCAGACGCCATTGACGCGTCCGCCATCTTTGAATGGTCAATGTGTCGTCACTCACAGTCTTTCATTAGTGAGAATGTGTTGGCTTGTTTTAAATATGTATTAACTCAATATTACAGCCTTTGACAGTTCCAATATGGCTTACGTAGAGTGGCCCAGAAACAGCCACTAATAAGGCAGATGCCATCTACCTATACATACTCATGGTAATAACACATATTATTATTAATTTAATTGTATCTGACTTAAGTTCTCATTTTAATCGATTGATAACGTCAAAGATGTTTGAGGCAAAACTTCAAAGCTACACGCTAAACATTTTCCGAGTAAATCAGCAAAAACCAAAAAGCATTTTATTTATCTATACTCTCTCGTTTTCTCTTGACTATCAAAAAAAAAAAACGTTCTGGAGAGTTAGGATGTATGCGCGGATCTTTAGGTCACTGGTTTAAATGCCTGACCCACATTCCCATCATGTAGTTGTGTTCAGATGTGGAGAATCAAATGGGGCAAAAGCAAGTTTGTCAGTCGCTTGTCACGCTAGACACACTTCCCTGGAGAATCAAAAGACACTGATCTTTCATCAAAATAGATTAACTCTTTGTTTTAATAATCAATGAATCGATTAATAAAACAACAAAAATCGGAAAAATAAATTCACATAAACATTTACATAACAGTATGACCTTTTCAAACACCTTAGAGCACAGAAGTTCACATAAGACCATTGATTCAGATTATTGATTAGGATCGTTCGTTCTTTACCTCAATATGCTGTGGAAGCATATCAGGAACGAATCAGAAATATAAATAATAGATTTCAACAATCTTACTTCTTCAAATTGAATTCATTTTCTGCTTGTGCAAGATTTTATTTAGTATTACCAGAACAATTTATTTGTTGTTCCTTGTATTGAACAATTCAAATTTCCATTGATTTTAAACAATGAATCAATACGCAGCAGCACTGAATGCAATGCTCAAGGGCGCACAGATCTAGCTTGAATATGGATTGAGGGATCAGGGCCATGTCTCCCAGTGGAAGAACATTGCTTTAGCATTTTTGTGACAAAAAGCATATTCTGCAGTACTAATTTATTCTTCACATTCAACTTCTGTATGTTTAATGGCCACTATGCTTTCATACGCAAATCATCAGTCTCTTTTTGGGTAGAAGTGACTAGATAATGACTAGATAGTTGTCAAACCCACAAGGGAACTGAGCAACAACAGAAGACTATGACACATGTCCCAGACTCACAAAAAGGTTAAAAGGGGTAAAAAATAAAAAAAGGGCTTTTAAGAGTGACAAAACTGAATCATGCCCAAATTGATTACATAAAAGCTTGGGAGGAAAGTCTGAGAGAGTTTTGTTTCGTATATCATATCTTTCCATTGATTTTTGCCTAAATCACGTTGTCAGAATGGGGCAGCATTTAATCTTTCCATTACAGATAACTGGCTCGGTTTTTAAGACCCCTTTCATATACACATGGATTCAGTCATGTATGTCCTCAGATAAGCCAATAAACTTTCCTCGATCCATTTAGTTCCATTAGATGTAAAAAAGCACTTTTTCTTGATAAAATGCTTCACTAATTAACCCACAAGGTTAGTGAGCTACTGGACAAAGATGCCCTCTAAAAAAGCAGATAGCATGTCGATCTCATGGCACTATAAGGTAATATGGAAGGATAATAGATGTGTTTGTATTTGTTTTCAACTGAAGATTGAAGTATGAATGCTAGGCTAAGATTTAAGAGAGTAAGGGATTGATGTTTCTTTAATTATAAAAAAAAGTAACATCTCTTCAACAATATAGCCATTTTAAATATAAACGTTTAAAAATAATGCAGTGATATTTAATACACATTTAAATTCTGACAAATATAATCTATTATAGGGACCATGCCAGTTATCGGACACTTTTTACTGGCATTGGTGAATAGATATATATCCAATATTGGATATTTATTATTTATTTATTATGGCCATTATTTATTTATTATGCATGCTCATTTCCAGTATTTTTACATTTAGTTACATTTCTAAAATTAATATTTATTAATGCTAATAATTTCATAATATTGTTAAATATATTATTTATTATATGAATGTAATTAGAATATCTCAAAATTAACATCCATTTTTATTATATTGTACACTATAATTTTGTGAAGCAAATTTATTGTAATGATGTTAATTATTCTGAAGTAATTAAAATACCTGAATCTCAATGCAAGTGCAAGCATTAGCACATTAATCAATATTTCTTAAATATAATCTTTTTATAAAGAACAATAGAGTAATTAGCAAAATACATCTAGACACACACTATATATCCAATACTGGATACAAATTATATTTATTATGCATTCTCAATTCCACAATTTTTACATTTAGATTACATTTGCTGTTATCTAACACTCAGTTACAGTTAATAACGCTAATAATTTAATAATACTGTTCAATGGTATATTATATAAACGTACTTAGAATATCTAAAAATGTATATCCATTATTATATTGTACATTATAATGTTAAGAAGCAAACTCAAATTACTTTAATTAAAATAATTGATTTTAAATCTGCCATTTTTAGAATGTCATTGTCACACCACTGCTGTTAGGGAGACGAAGGCACGACGAAGATTATAACAACAAATCCTTATAATGGTAAGCCACACGGAAAAAGTGTGAATGTTACACAGGGTAACATTCACACAATAACAGACAAAGGAGAGCAACAAGAGGCCAATTAATATACACAGTATAATGAGGGTGATAAACTAGACACGGGTGAATCGAGGTTAACTAATGATGACTAGATGAGAACAGGAACATGACCAAATAAGGGTACACAGGAACTAAACTAATCAAGGAGACAGAAACTGGGTCAAACAGAGCACATGAGGGACAAAAACACAACAAAAGTCCAAAAGGGGTGTGACAGTCATATTCAATATCGGCCAATATATATCAAAAACTCTAGTACCAATATACTGTGCATCCCTAAACAAAAAATTGCCCTGTGTTGAATTACTGCAGAGCTGCAGGAAAATGATGCAATGATAGCGCTGACTGGCTGATGGCATCACAGAAACAGTCCTTTCCTAACGGCAGAAAAATATCCTAAAAGCAGAAAATATAGTCTATTTCACACTTTAAAAAAATCAGGCACTGGTAAAACATCAACTGTAATATACTGAAATATTTGTGATTTTTGTGTTGCTTGAAAAACATTTCAGTCAAAACACATTTATATTTATGATATTTCTGAATGGTCATAAAAAGATGTTTTTTGCAGCCATATGGTGCAACGGGTTAAACTGGACCATGCTAACCAGCCAAACCTTGCCCTAGTGTCACCTAAACAGACACTGAGATTACAAACTGAGTGGGAACAGATAAAAAGTGTGAGACTAGCTCAGGTTGCTCAAATTAATGCAATATGGCGAGGATAAAGCAGGTTCACTAGTCTGGAAACCCCAGTGAAGCCCTCTGTTATCGAGCACAAAAGGACCAGAGCACAATAAACTGGGTGTTGGTAAATTAAATGAGCTTGGACTAATTAAATGTGCCATATGCTCCCGTGCTCCGAAAATGGCATATGCTCTGGGAAACACTTGTCTGCGAGAATGGAACACATAACTGTGCGCACTGGCATATTGGGGGATTTAGTTCACATGATGTGCATCTGGTTTTAACTGGGTTTGGAGGAGAAAAACCAAGGAGCTGTGATGTTGGATGAGCCCTAAGCCAATGAAGTTCCATTGGGAACTGATCACATGTTGAGTTTACGACTTACATCAGAGATCTGTTTCAGATGACACTCATGCATCACATGCCGAAAGAAACAATGAAAACGAATGTAATAGATTGAGCTTAACATGACATGCATTCAATGCTAAAAGTAAATGCTGAGTGAATAGAAATCTAGATCACTTTTGCAAAAATATCCCTCCAAGTAAAGCACGCTCTTACTTGCCTTTCAACGTAGGCTAATTAAACGCCACTGC